TAATTTGGGGAAGGAGCACTGGAAAATTATTGACATATAACTGTTCTAACTTCTTAATTTTAAGGGAAAAAAAGTTCTGAACTGCTATAATAGCAGTCTACTAGACAGGAGGCTTACATTACCTAAAACTACAGAAGAAACACTGCAACATTACTGCTTTGGGTCTCTCATTGCCCAAGTTTTGCAAGTTAACATCAACTGCTAAGTATTTAACAAAGTCTAGAAGCACTCAGACATATTACCCTTGAAAGTCAAAGACTTCTAGGTATTCAGTATTCCTTAGCATTAGGAAAAAATAAAATAAATAAAATAAAAAAGCATACAACACTCAGATCCTGAGTCAGCCAGGGTCTCTGAAACAGAATTCTTTGAACAAGATTTGTTTTCCTTTTTGCAAGGTACTAACAAGCAATTCTCTCCTGAGATTCAAAAAAGGCATCCCATTTTTCTATAATTCACTGAACAGAAGATACAGACGAAGCTGTAAGACCTTCCTATAGATAAATCATTCATCTCCATGTTTTTGTATGAGCATGCCACTTCCTTCCTTCCTTTCTCTGTTTCTTAGGACTTCCTTCCACAAACATTTCTTAGTATTCCTTCACTTTCATGTCATATACAATAACTCTGTACAAGTTCCCCCATTTCCTCATCTGCATCATTTAAGTTCCCTATATATTTTCTAAAACCTGGGATGATGATCAGGATTTTAGCTAGGTCTTTTTTGGCTTTATTTACTCAGGAGATTCAGAACACTGCTTTCTACAAACTATTAGAAGACAGGTACAGGCACGTGCTATCCACCTTGCCTAATATTGTAGGCCTCCTCCACAATAAAGATAATTTTTCTATCCTATCCCTGAAACCAGGGGACGCATAGCGGTAGAGTTGATTTTGTTGTTGTTAGTTACCTTCCCACACAAACAAAACAATTATATCAGTATTTCATACCCATACTTTATGAGCAAGATTTTCATGCAGCAAATACTGCAACATTTCCTTTCCTCTTGCATGAGCTGCACACGTTGACCAACAGATTAGAAGACTGCTAATCTGGCACTGGCATTTGAACTCACCAGGTAGAAAACTACAGCAATAGATACAAWGGATGTCTGAAAAAAAGCATCAAGTGAATATTGGTAAAAAACTCACACTGTTCATAACACACATAAGGCTTGAAAGACACTTTTGTTTTAAGGCATCGCAAGAGTATGTTGGGTAAGATTTAATTAGAATATATGTCTAGCTTCTGAAAATAGAACTTATCCAAGCATGTATACACTCAACAAGCAAATATACGTCTATGCCTACCTCCTGATTTGTCTTCTCCCGTTCCCAAAAATGTGGTTAAAACATAATATACCCGAAAATATTATACTTGAATCAGATTTAAAAGAAATTGTGGATGAAAATGGGAGTCAGAGGCTTGCAAACACAGTCATTCAAACCACAGAAAGCACCCAAAGGCCCATCTGCTGCTCATCCAGGCAACTATCATTTCCATACAACAAGGGATTCTGTTCAGAGAAAAAAAAGTACCCTGGCCTTTTTTTGAGAAGTTGTCAAGTACTGCTTGGACTTTCAAGTGCTGAGAAACCTGCACAGCTAAGTCTCATTACCAAACACAACTTAGGGATAATTTTGGAAAGTACTTATCTTTACAAAGCGCTTTCAGAAACCAGACTTCGCACCTAGCTCCCTTTAAGAATCTGGACTCTCCCCCTATTTGAAAATGGCACTTTACACCTGCTAGTTTTAATAAGCATTAGGGTATAGACACATCTTTTCACAGCACTGGGGCTTTCTCTAGGAAAGCCTGAGCCACTGTCAGACATCAGTGATAGCATAAGAAATAAGCTCAAACATTTCCCTCACGGATCAGTGGCAGCAGCTAGAACCCAGCCAAAAAYTTTATTCCTGCTTGGGTAGCCAGCAAGTGGACCTGCTGCTGAACCCTTACCACAAAGTCAATACCTGCATGTTCAGCCCACACACTTCAAGGTGCCTGGAGAAGTGGTCAGAAACTAATGCAGAGGAAACAAGGCCTATCTTGACAGGTCAACACAGTTCCTTTTGGCTTTGGGACCTGCAGGGCAGCCCATTTCCAGCACGACTGGCCCTCTGGGAGGAAAATGCACCCCGGGAGACAGCCCACAACCCAGCCCYATGCTACAGCCCTCTCACCTTCCACCAGCTCATCCAGGCTGGTGAGCTTCTTGCTGCCATCAATGGTGTAGATGGTGCGGACGCCCTGGGGCAGGTTCACGTTGTCCGAGAGGGAGCGGGTGAGCTCGACGAGGAGGGCATCGAAGGAGCGGAAGCGGTCGGTGGAGATGGCGTAGACCAAGCCCTTGAAGTACCTGTCGCCGTTGCGGTAGAAGCGGGCTTTCCGCGCCTTCTTCTCCGAGCTCAGCGCCTGCAGGGTCCGCGTCCGGTAAAGGCTGCAGTGGGCGCTGTGCGCCGGGCTGGGAATGAGCCCATTGCCCCGCGGGCCGACGCCGCCGGAGCCCGGGGCGCCGCGGCGCGGCCCTGCGCGCTGCTGCCTCTTGTCGCGCTCMTCGAAGTGCTCCAGCTCGATGCTCCGCTTGCTCGCCATGCCGGGCTCCCCGCTCGTCCTGCTGCCGGCTCCGCCGTCTGCTCCCGAGGCGCCTAGTTCGGCATCGCGCCCAGCCGCCCCCGCGGGGACGGCTGCGGGGAACCGCGGCGCCCAAGCCGCCGCGCAGCGGCCGCTAGCSCTACCCGCTCCCCGCCGCTGGGCCCGCGGCGGCGCACAAAAGCATCCCCCGTGCCTGCCGCCTAACTGCAGCGGCTGAAATAGCCCGCGGGGCCCCGCCGCCGCCCCCGCGCCGCTGCAGGTTCGCACAATGCGGAGGATGCCGTGCGCGCAGCTCCCGCCTCAGCCTATTCTCTGCGGGCTCCGCCGGAGAGGGCGTGGGGACGACCTGCCCATCCCRCCGCCCCCTCCCGGCCAGCGGGCGCCGCTCGGCCCCGCGGGCTCCCGGCTCCGCCGCCGCCCGGAGAGAGCGCGGGCGCTGCCGGCGGCCGCCTCGCAAAGAAAGGGGTCCCGGCGCGGCGGGAGGAGCGAGCCGCGCTGCGGCCGCTGCAGCGCCGGCGGCTGCCGGGCCCTAACGCCG